GTGATCAGATGAAAGAGTATCCGAGCCAATAATTTTGTACGGCACGGTACTTATAAGTAATCAATGAAAAAACATTAAATACAAGGTAACATTAAAATATCAGTCATTTGTTTCGTTGCTGTGAGCTTGTTTCAAAACTTCTGGCTTTTGCTTAATATAATTGTAAAACTCTGTGCATGTCATTTTAACGTATTTAGATACATACTTATATTAATTATCAACTATTGCTTGTGCAAAACGTGCTAAATTAAAAAAAAAAAATCGCATATGAAAGAGCACCAACCCAACTCGTAATACATTTAAGTATACAAATTTTAGTATATAGTATAGATATATTCAATTCAAATACGCCCATATTAAAATGAAGCGATTTGCAATTACCGATTGCTTTTTCATAATTAAGTTAAAAAAATATTTAAATTCCATGCTGCCTGTAATGGGATTTGAACCCTGACGCTCTGGAAATTAGCAAATTGTGGCAAGCATCTTCGTGCACTCGGCTACAGCCAGACATGCAAATGTACATTCAAATGTTCATTTTGATTCAACACCACTTGTTCGTGGTATGAAAGTATTGTTTTTAAATACGAACCCTTTAAACGATAATCAAATAAAAAATGTTCATGTTTATTGCGTTATTTCCCCCAGTAAATTCATAAAATTTTTCTTAATATTACAACGCATTTTTTCTCTCAGTGTATTTATTCAAAATTTGTGCCATCAAATCGAAAACCGGGACACTTAAATGAAACCCGGGACATTTTAAGGTTGGACCGGGACACCGGGAGAAATAGTCTAAAACAGTGACATGTCCGGGAAAAATTTTGAAAATGTAGCTTTTGAGCCAATTAGTAAAGTGCAAGTCTGAAGTTACCAGAAAATTTCGTTGATTTCTTGCAATTATTTATTTTTTGCTGAGTGTCTTCCGCATACAAAAAAATGTCGAACATAGTTTGTCTGGAAAAAACTCTCAGTAAAAACAATACCAAAAATCAACTAAATTTTTATGGGCTGCATTTTCATTTTCAAAATTTTTATAAAAAAGTCTGAATAGAAAGTTGCGAATTTGTATGCAAAATTATTGCATTTTCCCGAGTTTTGCACAAAGTTTAGAAATTTTATATTTATGTTTTCTGATGTATTCAGTATAAACTGTATTTTTATAAGGAACAAAAAAGGTACATGCATTGTGGAAAATTCTCTATACTTTAGTTGTGATAAATTGTTTTGTTTTGCTGGTGTACGTTGTAATGATCTCATGATCTCATGTTTTTATGTTTTTTTTTGTCAAAATAAAATTTTACTACATCCTTTCGTACGTAATTTTTGTCGAAACGAAATGGAAGGTTTGGCAAGAGAGATATCTCGCAGCCCTAATCTAAGGAGGAGTCTACAACAGACGGGCGGACACGAAAAGCACGCTCCAGCAAGAAGAAACCTTGGCGAAACGACGGTACTGTGAGGTGGCCAGGGATCACCTTCAGGTCGCGCTTGTCCACGAAGCCACAGGCAGCGGTAAGCCCGTTCAGGAGAGGTGGGTAGAGATCGAGTCGAAACTCTCTGAACGGATGGGCGACTATCTGTTTTAAAATCCGGACAACCCTATTCCAGGATTTCACGGAGGGAGTCCCTGAGGGGTTGTCGGATATTTAAATGTAGAGATGAGTACTTTAGGGAATTCCTCGGCAAGTGCGTAGCCGAGCTCGGCAGCGCCTGGGAGGGTTTGCAGTTCAAACTAATCCCTGCCGAGGACGTACCTAGGAAACCCAGGACACGCATTTGGCTGCCGAAGATGGCTATGGACAGCGACAAGCTGATCGGTTTCCTGCAACGGCAGAATCCGGCAATACCCATGAGTGACTGGGTAGTCATTCGTGCAGAAAAGCCTCTAGAGGATGCGCAGAGTTCTTCGTACCTTCTGAGGCTTAACGAAGAAACTATTGAGCCATTGCAAAAAGTGGACAACAAGCTGATCTTCGGGGTGCTAACAGCTAAACTAAAAATATTCCGCTCCAATGAGCCGATTCCAGAGGCTGATATCGAGAATGCGATCCAGATGTTGGGCGATATGAACCTGCTGGCAGGCACAGGGCCAGTTGACAATGCCCAGAAAGGTAAGG